GTTAGATGCATTCGCACAAAACTAATATAGCCTTTTACCCTTATGGTACCAGCTATAACAATGAAAATAAAGACTGACGAAATATTCTAAATAACTTTTTAAAATTTGCATATGACTGCATCATTTTACAGTTATTTGATTGCCATTTGTTGAATTAACACGTGAAAATCAAATTTTATACATACTTCATGTATGTTTGTTTATGCCAAACTATTAAATATGAACTGTCGTACAAAATTATTTCCTCACCGAATATCTGAGGTATATGCACACATCGCTCGCAAACTCAAACTACTCGATTTGATGGTTATTTACTTACAGAAACAATAAAACTATTGAAACAAAACAAAAAAGTCTGAGTTCAATTGTTGGCCAATAAGGCCAGGTAGCTCGCCCCAAGCGTGGACATTGTGGCAGTACGTGTGTGTTTCCGTATATACTTGTAGGAGTGTTTTGATATGTCAACAACATTTATGGTAGCTTTCAATGAATTTGTTTTACGTATTGTTTTTGTTGCTGTTTCAGTTGCCCAATAGGCATTTGGGCTGTTCCTTTTAATACAGGTAACTTAATTGGCTCCGAGATGACAAAAGCACGTAAAGACAGACACATGTTCAAATGTACGTAGAGCTTTGTGTAACACTCATTTGCAGCAGCAGAAGGCAACAGTAGAATGCCAAGAGGTTTGCCAAACCCCCAAGAACTGAAAGCATTTGGCTTTCTTTAATGCACAACTCCTGCCTCGTACTCTTCTCAGTTTTATTTATTTATTTTTTCGCACGTAGCTCTCTCCTTATTTACTTGCTACACCATCAACGACATACAAACATTGGCTGCGGCGACTAACTCGTAAATGGCACAACTTTAACAAAAACTACCACGAAAGTTTAACAAGCAATCATTTTTTGGCCTACAGTGCGATTTGAGAATTGACCTGCCTTTACTTTTCCTACTTTTGTGCTTTAAGCCGTTTTGCTTTAAAGCAGAAAACCCTTTTCAAATAGGGCTGTGTGTGTGTATCATCGCATGTTGCCCGCAGCATTTGCTTAATAATTTCATCAAACATTTTTCATATGTACTCATACACGCACAAAGTTATACAACTTAAATTCATTTGGGGACTCGCTTTCAAGTCCCAGCGCACGTGTGCAGAGAATGTCAAACAACAATTAAAAATAATCGATGCGAAAACGCCAGCAGCAATAACCGTAACACAGCATAACCTCAAATACAGACAATTAAATTTAGGAAACAGAGCAAACACAACAAAAAGAACTCCTCGGGCTGCAACCCAAAACGATAACAATTATTCACAAAGGATTAGGAACTGTTGAAAACGACACAGGGTACAACTCCTTTCGGTATACACACTTGTCGACACTTGGACAGTTTTTCTATTGTTGTTGTCATGTCCATGTCCGTGTCCGTGTCTATGTCCATGCCATACAAATTACATTTTCCGTTGGACAAACCACAAAAATAACATTAACCGTACGTACTACCATGGCTTCAACTGTTTATTTAATTAAATTTAAAAGCTACACCGTCCCTCGCAACAGAAATCGCAACTACGAGTAACTCGCTTCGTCTGCTTTTCTCCTTCCTACTGCCATCCTTATCGCACTTGGACTGATCTGCTGAACTGTTCAATGGCGTGAATTATGTCGCAGTCCATCCAGCGACCCCAAGTCATTTGTATTAATTCAATAAGTAGCGCACTTTAATCCAATACAGACAATATAGCCGCAGATGCTATTACTGCTGCTGCTGCTTCTACAGCTACTGCTGCTCTCACCAACACCAACTTAGCTGATGTTATACAGTGGGACGAGTGAACTTTACTAAGATGTTAATACCGTTCAAATAAATATACGAAATTAGAACATAAGTTTCAGCCAAGACTAACCAGTATTAAGTAAATAAAATGCTAGCTTTAAGGCGTTACTAAAACGTTACTATGTTGACAGCAAATGGTTGTTCACAATACATAAAATCAACATCGAATTCACATATCAAGATATATGATTTATTTCGACTTTCATGTAGTTTTTAATAATAAATAAATCACAATTGATTGGGTATTAAAAATCGTGTAGGTTTTCAAAAATCAAAATGCCGGTCCCACAAAGTATTTACCTTCTTGATCAGCATTACAAGATCCGTCTGTCTGGTAATGGGTACAGGGTTTTTAAGAGATGCACTCGACTTACTCCACCTCTTGTTGATATAGTATACTATAATAACAATTCAAGCAATGCTAATAAGTAAATAAAACGCAGTATCAGAATAACAAATAAATAAAACACAATTTGGTTTACTTACCACTGTATACCACCTACAGTTGGCATCGGGGGTAATGCTTGCGTCATACCAAATGCCCATTCCGGCACCACTTCATTTTATATCCCAAGAAACGCGCGTTATTTTTATTTGTGTGCCTTCGTTTTATTTACATTATTTACTTTTATTTCGCTTTTCTTTCAAATTACGCCAACGGCTTCTTTGCCACCAGCATCATCACACAGTCTTGCATACATGTTGGCTGCTGGCGGCACTCGTGGCTGAGGCAGGCAGCATAATTGTAATGCTTCCCCCAACCCTTGTCGACCCCATAACTGCCTATTCAGGACGAACATATCAAGCAGGCGCACAAATTGAAATTGAATCCGTTTAAATGGCAGCCAGCTGTGTGAGATGGTGGCCATTTACACCTTTGCGCCCTCTGGCTACATTGTCTTAGGCCAACGACTTTGCCAACAATGAAAAATGTATTTGCTATAAAAAACGCCTAAAAATAGACATGAAGACACACACTCAAATATACGGCCGTAATGTATGCGCAACAATTGCCAGGAGACGCAGCTGCCAAAAGCTGCTTGCGATTTCCTTCCCAGACGCTTCATTGTCTATGTGGAAGCATTCCGTATGGCAAAAAGTGCTGCTCATTGCAACCTAATTAGATCCAAATGACTGCACATATTTTATCAATTTCACCTCGGGGCCATTAATATGAGAAACTGTAAATTGTTTTCAATACTCGAAATTATCATATTATTAAATTATTCATGAAGGTGCTTAAACATTCCGGACTCGCTCCATGGCCTATGCCAGCCATTAAATATGTCGGAAACATGCAAGATAGAAATCAGCGCTTCGAGGCCGCCTCGCAAAAGTTGTCCTGGACGACCGCCCAATTGGTGCGCTTGACTGTAACTGCGCTGGCAAATGTGAAATGAAATTTAAAAACACAACAGGAAGCATGTTCAACTAATCAATACTCTGCTAACTGATTAGTATATATAAATGTCAAAAGAATATATTTGATACGGTACTTATTAATACACAATACGTATGCACATATATTATATTAAAATATTCTAAGCAATTGAACAACCATGAATAGTCTACTGAAATTAACTTACTAATTCAATATTAATGAAAATTGATAAATATCCATTTGTAGAGACATTAATAAATAATAAAGCATATCTAAATTACTAATTCATTTGTAATAAGTATAAACAAATAATTTGGAATTCAAATAAACAGCTACAACATAATTACATCAAATATAGAAATATGATTGATTATGTGTTTCAACTAATTAAATAATTATTAGATTTCAAAACTCAAATAAATTACAATTAATTATGTAATCGCATCAAGAGAATATTTTCATAGTTCATTAATTTGTGTAATTAGCATAACAACGTATTTACCACAACATTCTAAAACAGTTGCAATTCCAACTTAAACTGCTTCAAAAGCTTAGGGAAATGTACGCAGACAAACAAAATTATTAAAATTGTTTACTTTATATCACTATTACACTTAACACAAGACAAGAACAAGATATAGAGAAAAGATGCAATAAAAACCAGAAAAGCAAAAACCTTTTTACAGATTTCAATTTTTCTTTTCATGTCTAGTTTATTGACTAGCTGCAATTGGCACTTTAATTATTGTTAACTTTAAAAGCAGAAAACATCTTTTAAAATAATACATATTTTGTTATTTTTCAAGCTGCCTAGGTTTGCTTTTTTATGCATGCAAAAATAGGCCACATTTATCCTTTAGCATTTTGTGTATAGGGTATTAAACATATTTAAGCTATATTTCTTGTGCTTAAGAACATTAGGTGGAGGCAGTTGCTTGGCACTAACTTGGCCAATATAAAATTAAAGTTTCATTTTTCAAACGTTGCCAACGTTGCGTTGCGGCTTGATGCGTAAAGTGGTGGTTGTGCATGGGCGGGCCTTGTCGGTTTCCAGAGAGCAGAAAAAGTGCAAAATCTCAACGCGCAAGGGCGTTGGCAGGTTGTAGGAGGGGGCCGTTGCTCCCCCCTAAAAAAAATGGTTGCCATATAAATTCGACAACACGTTCATTATTATGACGCACTATTTCGCCTTAAAATGGATCTGAGTTGGATGTGTTGAAGTTTTTTCATTAATCATGTGCAAAAGTTATTTTTTAAATGCACGATGCCATTATTTAATCAAAATTGTAATTTTTTGGCCCCCCCTTTGGTAAAAGCTGCCTACGCCCTTGTCAACGCGTATACGCCAAGTGTAGTCTACACTTAGACGCGGCTTGAAAAATTACGCACAAAGGCAACGCAATGTGGCTCCTCTTCCATTACAGTAGCGAGTTTTAATCTCGAGGCAGGCCACACGAGTCGGCAACGTGGCAGCCTGGTAGCCTGGCAGTCTGGCAGCAACCATGTAGTTACCAAGATAGCAAAGCAGCGTGAAAAAATATGAAACAAGCAAACTGAAACTTTTCACAGGGCCTTGCATCGTTTGTATGATCCTGGGTAGCCTTGTGAAAAACTAAAAAGAAACTTAAGGTATGAGTACAAACACCTTCCGTTCTCTCTTTCTACTTTGTTTATCTTATTAATGTGGGGATGAAACCGTTTGACGGGGACATGAAAACTTAGACTAGCACCTAAGAAACTACATGACATGGAGGGGTGGTTCTTATGAAAAATGTCTTAGAGGCTATCGACGCCTTTGCGTTGCCGGCAAGTACGTAGCTTGCGGTATCTGAGACTCTTTGCTCGTACTGGTAAAGTCCAGCACCGGTGCCACACCCTCATCAGAGCTGCGTGAGCTGCCACCCAGTGCATCGAATTGCTGCTGTATCAGCTGCTGGGCACGCACTGCCTCTTCGGGCGTGCGATATTTGACAAAATGAACCTCGGGCTTGTGCGCTTGGCTGGGACCCTGACTTTGCAATTTCTGGGCCAGCTCACCCACATCGGCCTGCTTGGTTAGCACGTAGATGGCCGTGCGTTGTTCACTCGCCTGCTTCGCCAATTGCAGTGCCGCATTGGCGAGCCCTTGATGCTCGGGTGATTTGATAAAAAGCACACGAAGATTACGCTTCAGTATGCTTGTGATACGCTGTGCTGCCTCCTGATCGGCAAAGTCCTCCTCAGGAGCAGCATACGTATAAAACTCCTTGCTGAACTCATCTAACTGCTGTTGCTCTTGCTGTGACTCCACTTGAGGATCTAATTGCTGCTGATGCTGCTGCTGCTGCTGTTGTTGTCCTGTACTGCTAAATCCCGCCGCTTCGGCATCAATGAGTCCAGCAAATCGATCGTCGTGTACATTGAAAGCTGCACTCTGCCCACTGCCTCCAAGGATTCTTTCGCCTCTGTTGCCTGCAACTGCAGAAGTGTATCCACCTGACTTATAATTATAGCCCAACTTAGCCGCCGTTGCTGCAGCAACGAACCAAAGCAACTACAAAACGAAGTGCAACATTAGCTGAAAGGCATCACATTTCACCATCACTAATTACTCACGAGAAATCCACGCATTTTGTGCAAGCAATTTTGTCTGATTGACTTGTCCGGTCTGGTCTTCGCTCCGTAACCTTGCGAACTGACGATTGACCTGACGCACTAAGCGATTTTATACGCGGTTTTAACAATTTCGCTGAACAAAGTTAAAATGCGAAATATGATAAATGATACTTAGAGACTATCGCTTACAGTTTGGTTACATTTTGGCTTTAAATTTTGAATTCGGCTATCGACTTTGATTGCGGTTGCTGCAATCACAAACACAAACGCAAACACAAACACAACGCGCCACGAGCAAAATGCCTTTAACCATGGTTAATCAAAGATAAATATGCCGCAGCGCAAACAACACTCGGAACCTGCTCTTGGGCGTTGTTCGGATTATGTAAGACAAACATTTGGGAGCTAGTCGTTTACGCGGCCAAACTACAAAGCCGATCATACTGCGCATAAATAACCACAAATCGCGTTAAAATGTTATGTTACATGTGTTTGCTGTCTAGTGGCTTCTTCATTTTCAATCTTTCTCTCTCTCTCTCTTCATTTCTCTTTTCTCCACCGTCGCAAACTAAACAATGTGAAATATGCATAATTCATTAATTAGGCAAAAGGTATACGCAAAAATCATTTTTATTTTCATTTATGCACATTTATAACAGCGTTTTTACCGCCATACTTAAATTACTACTAAACAATTAATTTGTAAGTACCCAAGAGCCATCAGTCCATCACAGCACTTGAAAAGTATTTTATATATATACAAGTATATTGATTTGCGAAAACTTCAATCAGATAATGACAGCCGGCGATTAAACAGCAACTAAAGCTATCGAGTGCTAAATTCTTCTTTCTAATACAGCACTTTTCGCAGTGCAGTCAACAAAATTAAGAAATCATCCTACAAAAAAAACTTAATTCCTACAATATTTTAAAATGTATGTAAATGCTTAGTTGTATAAAGTTTTTTTTAAAGCTTATTTAAGCTATGTTGTAGTTGCTCTTATATGGACATCATTTGGCATTAATAAATGATACAACACCAATATGTTTATTAGCAAAAACTAAATTTACAGCTGTAAATATACCATAATAATCTGACGTGATTGGTCTCAATAGCTAATGTAATAAAACCTCAAGCTCGGAATCTTTAATAAGCCACAACAAATGCGAAAAAGTCACTGAATATTTCTATTTTTAACAGAGTTCATCATCATTGAAAATTTTACAGGAATTCAAAGTATATAAGTTTAACTCCAGTATCGGAAAAACATCTATAAAATTAACTAATAAAATTAATTGCTACTTTTCTTTTTATTTATCTGAGGTCATTAGATTCCACATGCTTGCCACGGTGCAAATTTTCAATGCGATAGCTTTAAAGCTGGTGAAAAAGAAGTGGGAGGAGTACTTGATTCTACAGAAGCAATTGTTATAAACTATGCACGTCAAAATCAAATGTACAAACAATTGAACTCAGCAGCCGTTGGCAGCCCATCTTTTGCCTAATTTTCACACATTGTCTAGCCTTTTGTTAGGCAGACACAGACACACACACACACACACATATATACACACTTGTTTACGGCTTTATTGTTGTTGCTTCAACTACCAGGCGCTACAGTCGGTCTGGTGACAACAAATGCGTTTAAATTAAGCATAAATGGCTCCCTGGAGACACAAATACGAGCATACTCGTAAACACAATACAGGGGCATAAACACTATTGCATAGATAATATTTAACAATAAACAAACAGAGAGGCAGGCAGACAACAAGCAAGCACGGCAGACAACTAAATAGACATTCAAAGACTCCAACTTGTGTACACACACCCACCACAAACCACACAGGACACCTTGCAAGCTTTCCCTAGCCAATGTATGTATTATTAAGTTTCCAGCCAGGCCGAAGTTGCAGGTGGGTAATTGTTTTGATTGTTCTACATAAATCTCTAGCCAAGACGATGCCATCTAATTGATAAGGCAGCAAATGGCACTTGTGTGTGCATGTGTGTGCGCTTTTGTATGATCTATATCAAATTGCTACTAAGCTGCCAATTGAAATTCATCATAAAATGCACAACAATGACCTGAAGGCTTTGTTGGCAAGCATCGTGTTTTAGCTTAATTTATAGGCCAAAATAACAAAACAATTTTATCATTATGCACAATGCTGGAGCAACAGGCTGAGTCTGCCCGGCTAAACAATGCCCATTTATGCTCTTAATGAAAGGCCATATATCAAGGAAGGCCGACAGAACCAAGCCGCAGAACCAAGACTGACAAAAGAAAAGGCAGCAAAGACGATGGCGACAGCTGCTCGGGGCTATCTATTTCCGAGCTGCGACGTGCCACACATTTACATTTATAAATATGCATAATTTGTCAAGGTAAAATGAAATCCTGCATATCCTGGAGCGGTACTTTCGCTGACCAGTGTCAGCAAATTTAATTTAATCATTTGAAGCAAAGTAAATGCGTCTAATGGGAATGGAATTTATCCAAAGTAATTATGTTGGCATGCGTCAACGCCTGCGCAACTTTAAAAATACGCTCACAAAGTTTGGTTACATCGACCACAACAAGACAAAGTATATATATAAAGTATCCGAGAATGTATGAAGTACAGCCAAAAGCGGTATCGCTACCTACGACAGTGACACCCAACCTTAGTGTCCAAGAGGTAAACAAAATTGTAGCCTAACCGTAACATTGTCAAGCTCTTGTCGATGCTGGTGGGCATGATGTCTTTGTTTACTGTTTATCTTTAGACAAAAAGCAAACAAAACGATGGCAAAACAACAAGTTCTGTAACGGCAACAACAACAACAACAACAACAGAAGCTATATCAGCTACAAGGGCAAAGTTGCCAAACAGCTCGAACAAAACGGAAATGATAAGATTTATTTTTGGACACTCTCTGATTGCCTGTGCAAATTTCCCGTCCATCCCCATCGATGGGCTGAGTAATTGAGGTTGGCATGCGGTATGTTAATTAAAATTTTTCGAAAGACACGTGCCGGCCTTTGCTGAGTAATAAATCATGACAAGTGCAGAGCCAAACAAACCTTCAATCGCTGCTAATCATGGCAATTACTGTGCACAAATATATAAATATAAATACTCGTACAGACAAATCAAAGAAGCGTGCTACCCAACACACTCAATATTCTGTTTCGTTGTAGTTAGAACCAAGCAATCACTAATACACATTAGCGTTTCGTTTACATGCATATACATACTTGTACATAGTTAAGTATGTTGTAGGCAGGCATTTAGGCGCAAGCCTATAATGAGGGCACTGAACTAACTAGCGATTATATCTAGATAACTCAACTAACAATACAAATTATCACAATTGCTATGAAATCATAAGATTGCAATTAGCACAGGCTTCTAAGTTTTAACATAATTGTTACTGAATTTAAAGCAAAGAAAAGTATTTTCTATATACCTTAAAAAGTGTGAAAAGAAATACATAATAAAAGAGTAATAATCAATATGTCGGAACATTTTCTTCATTTTTTTAGTAAATTTTTTTAGTGCAGTTACGCTAAAAAGTTGAATTTTTTGCTGACACTGTATTTCTACCCCTTCGATTGGTTTGACTACAAACGATTTCAAACCATTATATTGTATGTTAATAGTACGCTAAGAACGAGTGTTTTGTCAGATTGGAGGAAAATATACATTTTTTTAACTTTTATTAATTATCAAAAATGTTTAAAACGATCTTTATATAAATTGAATTATTATATTTAACCAACAACGAAAATATAAAAAATGCATTGGTAAGTCAACAATCGAAGATTCAATGTATTGCCTCATCAGTTTTAAAAATTTTATAGACGGTAGAACCCACTATCATTCTTTTTAACCGATTTCAAAAAAGAGGAGGTTATCAATTCGTCTGTATTTTTTTTTTTTTTATGTTTGTTACCTTGGTACACTCGACTGGGTGAACCGACTCCAAAAATAACAATAATTGTATCTACATTATATATTGAATATTAAGTTGTAGAAGAATACGCAATTATTTTTATACTCTGTACATGAAATGTACAAGAGTATATTAGGTTTGCGGGAGCTGAAAAATGTAACAGGCAGAAGGAGGCGTGGCAGACCCCACAAAGTATATATATTCTTGATCAGCATGACGAGACGAGTCGATCTAGCCCTGTCTGTCTGTCTGTCCGTCTGTCCGTCTGTCCGTCTGTCCGTCTGTCCGTCCGTATGAACACCTGGATCTCAGAGACTATAAGAGATAGAGACACCAAATTTTGCACGAAGATGCGTTATGTGTGTATTCTATACGAGTTTGTTTTATTTTTTTGATTTTCCCCCCCACTTCCCCCCTATGGGGGTTTTCCCGATTTTCCATTCGTATAATCGCCTATATCTCGGAGACTATAAGACCTAGGAACACCAAATTTTAGTCCCAGATGCCTTATGTGAATACGCAGAAAATGTATATTTTGGAATTCCCCTCCCTCCCCCCTCTACCCCGCAAATCGTAACTCCCGTAATTCTTGGAATTTCGAACTAAAATTTTGGAAATACCCCCAGTTGGTTATTATGTGTCCGTATGCCAAATTTCATTATGATAGACCGATTTAACAAGAAGTTATAGCCATAAATATATTTGCTGATGCAGCGCTGCTCAAGCGCTGCCCGCGGCTGTTGTTGATGTTGCTGTTTGGTTGACTGCGAAAATGCTTACACAGACACGAATTGATGCGCATAGGCATACATACACTCACACAAACGCAATTGCTATGTAAATGTGCAATTATACACCCTTTACGTGAGTTCGAATACCGAGAGAGGTAAAATCGATCAAATTTTTTTTTTTATTTTCTTAATTTTTTTATTTTCTATAATTATTGTAAACATATGTACAGAGTATTTCGAAGTCGGGACACCCGACTTTAGCTTTTTTACTTGTTTACTTTTTAGTGCCTGTTAATAGTTTGAAATCGGGTTCTTTTTTTGTTTAAATTGTTGTTTATATTATCAAAATATTGCTTTACATGCGTATCATTATGGCATAGCCATGGCCTTCAACCTTCAATAACCGATGACTGTGTCCACATTTATTATTCAAAGGAACGACGAGTAAATTGTATTTGCCAAAAGCATTGTAAGAGTTGAAAATGACAGTTTTATTGCAATTATAACAATTGATATCAGAAAGTTTGTCGTCATACTTTTCCCAAAACATTTAAAATATTGATTGTTATTACGAAAGTTTCAAAATAACTTGGGACATTCAGTGCCTTAAATACTTGCTTACAGGTGTTTTATCCCAATTGTTTAATATTACTACATTTTCCCAAAATGGCCTTGATGCTTTTACAGCTCAGTTAAAGTACGCTAACCCAATTTTGTCATAACGAAAACTGAGCAAAGCATAAATATTAATGAGCTGGTCACGACAACAGGGGCAGTGCTAACACACACTCATGCGACCGCAGGCAGTTCATAAAAGTGTCAAATACTTAGGAGGGGGGAGTCCACGACATGACCAAAGCAGGGGCAAAATAAATTGTTTAAAAACGGGAAACGCAAGCGACAAACATCGGCAACAATAGCGGCAGCAAAAGACATGAAGTGACAAACCTGTTGCGGCTGCTCAGACAACGACGATGGGTGACCCAAGCTGAGCGAGCTGTCATTATTAACGTATCATAAATCACGAACTTGTTACTTATTTGCATATTTACAGGCCGCAAAACAAAAGCGAACGAACTGTAACTGCACTGCAGGTCTCTAAATGTGTTTAACAAAGCTAAGTTTTTCCTTTTCTCTTGTTTTTGTTCGTTCTTTCTTTCGTTTGTTTTATTCATTTATATTTGATTGTTGTGGCAAACGTTTCCATTTCTGTTGCTAGTGATACAAACAATTCATCAATGTGCGTGCAATCCAGCACTTGGCCTTAAGTTAAAGAGGCCGAATTTTGTTTTTAATGATTTTTAATTTTCATTGCGTATACGCCATGTGGCCACACATACACACTACACATGGGTGCAGCTGCTAATTATGATTGATGAGCCCGAACAAAGTGTATGTCCAAATGAGGCAAAAGCTGAGGCTAATGTCTGCGATTATAGTCAAAACTTATAAAACAGTTTCTGCTTTAAAAACGTGTTTACACTTCTTCTTTTATGTTAAACAAATGAACAAATGCCAATAAATTTGCTACTTATGCAAATTCAAGTGAAAAAAAAGGGGCGCGGCAGTTAAATGACATGCGAAATTAGACATCATCGAGTTAAATAAGTCCATTTGCTATTGGAATTTTAAAGTTGGCGCCTAAAAGTATGTCGTGAATAGGTCATTAGGAGAGCTACGTCATGGGCAAAGGAAATGGCGGCCACCGCTTGTCTTGGCTGCTAAAAACAATTAGTATGACAATTTATCATGTGCCCATGGCTCTGGATGATTTATGAAGGCATAGGCAACGTCATATACTGCCACACTCCTCCACACACACACACACATAGATATATTAACACACGCTAAAAGCACAGAGTGCGTATGCGTATGCCGCATTTTTATTTGCTTTTCACTGTGGGTGCGTCGCATGTTTGTTCATATCCTTCCTTGCGCCCGGCCTTGCTGCTTGTTGCTTTTTCTAGTTAATAAATATTTTCAGCATTTCCGGCAACAACAAACGGCACAGACACACGCTTCTGTAACCCTCCGCCACACCCGGAAAATGGCAACTAAAGTCGCGCATTCATCGCACAATTAGTTTCGTCAATAAATGTCTTGCCATTTTATCCAAGGTGGCCACTTTAGTGGCACTTTGAGGAAAACCCATAACCAACCAACCACTATACGCATATTATTCCCGACTTCCTGGTATCACATGCTGCCCATATTAATTGGCTTTCATTAATTATACTTTGTGTGCCTATGCGACATTGCCACTGCTGTAGATGTAAGCCAAGTATGACTGAAATAGTGCTGCATAATTAATTGGTGTCGGTAATATTAAGCAAATATACACAAACAGTGGCCATTTAAGTTTTGTAGCAGGACTTCATGAAAGAAAGCTTAAGGTTCAAGAATTCATAAACATATGCATTAGTATTGGATGTCGAATGGCCACAGCTTTTAGTGATGGACTTTTAGAACCAGAGTAACTTTAAAGCTCAGGGCCCAGCTTTAATGGAGACTTTCCACAATTAGGTTGAAGGACATGCTAAAGTACCCGAGATATGTAAACATAACAACAAACTCAAGCAGCTGTACTTAAGCTTTTTGTATATATTTTGTATAAGACATTCTTGATCGGCAGTGCAAATCCGGTCATTCCAGACATCCCCATCTGTCTATATGAATGCAAGGATATTAGAATGATATAAGCTTCGCACATTCTGCTCAGTCAAAAACTACAATATCCAATATTAATTTAGATCCAAAGAAAAATACGAATTTAAGCCCTCACTCGCGTTACTAAATATTATCTAAATTGTTTAGTAAGTTATAGCATTATTATAATTTCTGCGCATTCTCTGCGGCCTAATTGTTCACGCACACACACATAAGTGCTTCGAGTAACTTTTGTACGAATGTATGTAACACACAGAAGTAGGCGTGGCATATAATTGATCAGTATGACAAAACGAGTCGAAATAGCCATGTCCGTCTGTCTGTATGAACGCAAGGATCTCAGAAAGTATAAGAGCTAGAATACCCAAACTGGGTATTCAGGTTCTCCTGAGCCCTAAGCAAATCAAGTTTGTTATTTTTTTCTGATACATCCCCCCCTCCCCCACTCCCCTGCAATTGGTGTTTTATCCATAACTCCCGTTATTGAAATATTGTACTCAGATTTGACAAATACCTCCAGTTAGTGCTTATAAGTGCGTATGCCAAGTTTCATCATGAAAGGTCAATTATGAAGAAAGTTAGAGAAATAAATATAATCTCTGCCCAAGCTCTGCCCGCAGCTGTTGTTGGTGCTGCTTTGACTTATTCCTGTACTGCATACATACACGCATATAAGCATGGATAGACACGATTCTGATGTATTCTAAATGTATGCTATTGAAACTGCACATAAACACTTATGTATGTATGCATGTGGTGAATATTTTATATTTATTTTAATTAATTAAATTGATTATTTTTATACCCTGTACCCAAAGGGTACAAGGGTATATTAGTTTTGTGCGAGTGCACATGGAACACACAGAAGGAGGCTTGGTAGACCCCACAAAGTATATATATTCTTGATCAGCATGACAAGCCGAGTCGATATAGCCATGTCCGTCTGTCCGTCTGTCTGTCTGTCTGTATGAACGCAAGGATCTCCGAAAGTATAAGAGCTAGAATAACCAAACTTGGTATACAGATTCTCCTGAGACCGAGAAAGGACGAGTTTGTTAATTTTTTCTGATCCGCCCCCCCACTCCCCCCCTATTACTGATCTTCTATAACTCCCGTAATTCGTAGAATTTTGAGCTAAAATTTGTTAGTCACATTAGGTTAGTAATTATATATCCGTATATCAGGTTTCATTATGATAAATTTTATCGGAAAGAAAGTTATAGCCATATAACCAGGCCCAATGCACACATACATACATATGTACAAGTACACAAATACGCATAAGGCACGATTCTGATTTAAATGTAAATGTATGTATGCATGCATGGAATATTTTATATTCAATCAGTTAATATTTAGTTAATTAATTAAATTAATTTAGTTAATTAATTTAATTTAATTAATTAATTAATTAAATTACTTTTTTGTGGGGTGGTACAGGGTATTTAAGAGTTGAGCCTGCTCGACTTTAGCATTCCTTTCTTGTTTCAGTTCACTTTTTTTATGGAATGGTACAGGGTATTGAGTTGAGTTGAGAGAGTTGAGCTCGCACGACTTTTGCATTCCTTTCTTGTTTAATGTAGATACAGATAGCTACTCTGATAGCTGTATAATATGTTTACGGAGTGTGGTCTGGTACACCTGCTTCTGTGTATTGCCCTTAGGGTATTAAAATATGCAGAAAGTACTCACCAAACAATCACATAATAGATCCGCAAAGAAATATTTCAAGTAAGATTACTTTTATTTCGACTGACAGTGGCTTTTCTTTATGACTAAGTCCTTTACCTGTAGCTCTTATGGTTATCCATTTATTAAAATGTCTACAATGTTGCCTAACAAAAAATTCATGCCACACCGTTTTTCAACTTTTATTTACAAAATTAAATCATATATTTTTCGTGTCCATTATATGGAAATAGTTAAGCAAAATTAAATTATGCAAATTATTTGTCGAAACGGAAAAAATATATAAAACTCTACATGAAATCATAGGCTATGCACGTAAATATCTCTGTACTATAAAGGGATGCCTCTTTATTGAGTTTCGCCTGATTTTCTATCTCTTCCTTTTCGGTATATACTTTGTATTGTGTGTGTTTTATTATGTACAACATTGATAGATAATTTTTTTTTCATATAAGTAACTTAGATAGTTTTTTGCATGGAATTGTTTGCATTTATTTTTAGGTATATATTTATACATTTATGTACTCGCATATTTATGTATAGTTATATTTATATAGCTGCTGTTGCTCTGTGTATATATGTATGTATTTAATTTCCATGCCTTCTTGTATGCCACATTTACCACATCTGGTCAACTCTAAATAGTTACACTTTCTTGAATAATAAACTATACGTGTTATATATCGCATATATTTATGTATTTGTATATAAGTATATGTATGTATATTTATATATTTGTATCATATGATTTTGCACATATTCCATAAACTTTAACAATGCCATTTGTCGTATTAGTTTCGTTCTTTTTACTAAATAAAACAAACTGTCTTTACTTTCTACACACTCTGCGCACTTTTAAAATGTTCTGAACTTGTACTTTTTATTACTGTTTTTAACATTTTTTTGCTTTTTGTTTTAGCTTTAGACTTTCATAAATAACACACGCCATGCTTGTTTGTATATTATTAACAATTGTTATGCGCAATATTTTATTTAATTTTTTGTTTTGGCCCCCGAAAGAAACTGAAAACTATGTAAATGCATTTTACTCGTACGAATCTCGAACTAAATAGACTTTTGAAGATTAATGGAAGCAGCTTGCAACTTAGTTTTTGATGTTCTAAATTAAGTGACAAACTTCTTCGTGTTAGTGTCTAACATTTAATGTTTTAGATACTTTAGTTATGTAAATATATGCAGGTATGCATATGAAAAATAAAATACTGTAGCTTTAAAATATTTGCATTTGTATATTATATACTAATATTTAGAGTCTAGTACATAGGACACATTTATGGGTAGGGTATGCATACATATAGATAAAGTACATTTACATATTAGTATTTCTTTTTGTTTTTCTTCCTTTTAGCTAATTATAATACTTTTCAGTTATTCCTCGCTCTGTCGCTCAATTGTAAATCAATGTGTTACACATGTTTTGAATATGTTTCTATTTTTGTGAACTATTTTTAACATGTTCTGCATTTTTGCATAATCTGTAGTATATATTAAATTAATTGGTGCAGAAGTTCAAGTTTATTTTTAAACATCTTTCTTGTATTTTAATTCCGTTTTTTACATTTTCTTTTAAAATAAATTCCAATTTTTGATTTTTCTTTGAATTGATAACTTTGTTTAGCTATATCTGTGCTAGGATTTTTTGGCTTAACTGATCTTTTTGTTGGTTCTTCTTACGGTTGAACGTCCTACGTCTAAAAATAAATGTGCGCTTCGAAATATTTTAAAAATTGTATTAAAGAGAAAAAGTGAGAACACTGCATCCCCGATGGTGCTTGGTAAATTAATTTTTATAAACATTCATTTGTAGACAAATAAATCAGTAAAATATTTCATTCTATTTAATATTTGGATTTAAAATATGGTACAATTCTCAATCAAATTATAACGATAAGAACTCAAAAATAATAACAAAAGAAACAAATTTAAATAATCAATAATTTAAAAATTTGGTAAAGATGAGAAAAACTAAATTGAATCAAACACAGCCAGCACAATTGTTGCTCTTCACATTATCTCGATGATAAACCCCATGATGTTTGATGGACGAAGCCGCAAAAAAAATTACAGCTATGGGTTGGCTGCCCGGTCCCGCCTTACTTCATTTTCTTGTCCTCGTGCGCCTTCTTAACAATGGCCAGTTTCGAGTGTGGTGAAGAGGGCGACAGGGTACGATATGGCGCCTCCTTGGTACCATGTAGCACGAGGGACCATTCCAGGAGATATCCGTTGCGTGTTTGCGGCGAATTAAAACGTGCCTAGAAAGCGAGAAATTGCATTAGCATACATGTAAGTGGGCGTAGATAGAAGACTGCGCTCACCTCCAGTATCCAGGTGCCTTGTGGGTACTCGCCCCAGGAGTGTGTGGTCATAAAGGGCCACTTGGTAAAACCATCACGATGATCATCATCATTTGCGCGCCGCGACAGGATCATCGACCTAAACGGTTCACCTTTAGTTTGCACTTCTGCTTTGTTCTTGCCACCTGTCACACTCACCTGGTTCCCATGGGGGATGTTAAGAATAACTCCAGGTCCCCACGTCGTGACGCATTTGCCGAAATGACTGCCTGCACGTGCTCCAAATAATTAACCTCCGTGTCGGTACCTTTGCAGGCATCTGTTCTAATTTCCATGAACAGCGAGCGACCCATGATTATAGCCCTGAAGCAATGCAAAAGGAGTGCAAAACTTAAGCACTAAAATCCTCAAAATCTCTCACACGCACACACTCACTGTGGTTTTGTAATCTCGCCGGCCTCGCAATGATAGCGTGCTGGCACTGTATGCCACTGCTTGGATAACGTGACCATCGCCCCCGCATCGAGTACGCCGAATCCAAAGAGGTGATTGAACTCCAGACCAACGCCATTCATTGTCCAATAAAAGCGGTTCTTGGCATCAAATAAGGAGTTGCGCTTCGATGTCAGGACCGTCAAATGTTGTATGTCGCGCCAAGTCAATTGCGGGCTGTGTATTATGTATGTAGGGATAACCGTTAAAGTTAAATATGTATATATTTATGTCAGCTACTCGACATTATAAAGTAATTTAAAAGACGTACAACATATCTAAAAACACCTCTCTTTAAGGAAATGGTTTTCCGATATTACACACAGAACTTAGAATTGTAGATATACTTGTAGTGTGAAACAGTTTAAAGCACTATGGTCTAAATCGCATTTTTTTTTGGCATAAATCTCCAAATTTTATGGCAATAAAACTCGTAAAGGTGGTAATTTCCCAAAGTATACAAAAGAAGTACTATATAATTCCTACTATATAATCCTACATTTTTGGCGGCCTTTGAAAGTCAGCAGTATGATCTACTGCTTACTTTTCTGAAATTGGCGCGAATTCGTTTGTAATATTTCATTGAATAACAACATTTTCTGTTAGATTTAAATGTAAAAGTAAAATATGGATAATACTGCTAAAAGTATGTAGACAATTTAAAATTTACTATTAATGTGATATATGGGAATTTTTTGTTGTTGTTCCTTGTTGTTGTGTGTATTTTTACGAGTTTTCTTATGCGTTTTTATATGATTTATGGAGTAAAGCTAGCAAGCTGACAAGTGGTGAGGCAAACTAAAATTGCAAAAATCCTCTTTGAAGGTTTCATGTTATAGTAATAATAACACTTTTTGCTCGATTTTGCTCCTTTTCGAAAAAATAGCGTTTATTGCAGCCAAACTGGTGGTTGGGCTGCAGAAATTGTTTACATTTGGAGCAGCAGCAAAGACGTATTTGAGCAGTATACTGTATAATGCAGAAAATGAATGTTAGAATCTTAGATGAATATAATACTATGTTGATATCGGAAAAGTAAAAACCGCCGCCAAATACTATATATTGAAAAGAATATGCCAAGTTGTAATAGAACTCTAGAAAGATTAAAAAAAAAACAGTCGAATTGGTTTGATTCTAACAAAATTGTTGAAATGGATGGTCATTTTGGCGCTTTGGTCATTTTGGCCCTCTGGTCATTTTGGCCCTTACATTCGAGCAAGACCGTCAGTGAAATACTCTGTACCTAGACAAACTTCTGGCACTGAGTTATATGCGCCCAATGCAGAAGCAAAAATTAGATTTGCAAATAACTTTTATTAAACAAAGAAAGATAATTATTATTCTAAATTATATATATTAGGTGTGCAAAATTTGGTTTTTGTAGCTTTTGAAATGTGGACGGTATTGTCGAAAGGTCATATAAAATTATATGAGTACTAGCAGGTCTTGCCCGTCTATGCTGGGCTAAATAAAATGTACTTATAATTAGAAGTTTTTATAGCCTGTACCCAAAGGGCGAAAGGCTATACTAATTTTGTGCGCATGTATGTAACACACAGAAGGAGCCGTGGCAGACCCCACAAAGTATATATATTCTTGATCAGGATGAGAAGCCGAGTGGATATAGCCTTGTCCATCCGTCCGTCTGTCCGTATGAACGCAAGGATCTCAGAAAATATAAGAGCTAGAATAACCAAACTTGGTTTCCATATTCTCCTAAGACCGAGAAAGTACGAGTTTGAGTTTTTTTTCGATGCACCCTCCCCCCCCCCCCCCCCCACTCCCGCGCAATTCGTGTTTTTTCTATAACTCCCGTAATTCTTGGAATTTTGAAATCAGTTTTAGTAGTTACGTCCAGTTAGTGCTTATGTGTCCGTATGCCGTTTCATCATGATAGGTTAATTCTGAGGAAAGTTATAGCCATAAATAAAACCGCTGCCCATGCTCTGCGTGCAGCGCTGCCCGCAGCTGTTATTGTTGTTGCTTATATATACACGTATATAAACAAGCATAGACAAGTGATGTAAATGTAAATCTGAATAAATATGTCTTCTATGTATGTATTAAATAAATGTTCTTAATTAATTTAATAAATTAATTCATTTTTTTTAATAATTTAATTTTTTTAATTTTTTCTTTTTAATTTTCCTATTTTGTGGAGAGTACAGGCTATTTTACCGTTGGGCTTGCTCGACTGTAGCGTTCTCTCTTGTTTTTAATTAATTAACATTTCTTGCTCTGTCAGTGCAAGACGAATGAACAGACATACATACATACATAGATGTGTACATGTACATAGATGTGTACATATGTATGTGTGTACGTTCAAATATTAGTGTCTCACATTTTGCTTTGGCTATTTCAATCGTTTGCACGCAACTACACGAACAGCTGCTTGTATGTGTGTATGTATACTTAGTTGTCCCCAACTGTTTGATATTTTGTATTGTTTGTTCTGCCTGCATTTATAAAATGCATATTTTGAAAATCCTTGAAGGCAAAGTTGTAAATTTAGTTACGTAGATTACAGTCCCCAAATTTCAAATCAAACGGAAAAAATTTATAACACAAACTTTTCATTTGAAAAGGAGAATAAATATTAAAACCCCAATAATTCAAGCTCCACCACAAATTTCGAAAATTCGAGTATGCAGTTTTGTTTGTATTCTTTTATAGGTTATAAAAATCAAATTTAAAGTTGATTGGTGGAAAACTGAAGATTTTTCAAACAATCTTTGGAGCTCGTTTCGCCCCGTTGGAGCTCGAATTTTCCAAAATCCCTTCTTAGTGCGCACATACACTATGAAAGGATACTTGAGTCCAAATTTCATCTTCCTAGCTTTTACCGTTTGGGCTGTGTGTTGATCACCAACCAGTCAGTCAGTCAGGACAAACTGTTTTATATATATAGATTACTATTATAATTAAAAACAAAACAAATACATAGTTTAATACAACTGAAAATGCTAACAATTTTCCTTTGGAGTTTATGCCAAAAAAACACAGAAAAACAGCGATTTGGAACAAATTGGCAGGTTTGTTCAACTTAAAACTGTTAAAATGTATTTTAAAATTCAAAGCTACCCCTGAAAATTTATCCCATGAACTGACGGTACTACAATAAGCGAAGATTTTCTATGTTTTCATTCCCCAAACTAAGTCCCGCAGAAGAAGAAGTACAGAGAGAGCATAGTACAGCCTGAAATAAATAAAATTTTCCACCGATTCAATTAAAATATATTACGAATATTAGATCTTCCTCGGATAATTACGAACATTCTTACAAGCTGCACAATTGTAAAGAACGTCACCAACATATTTCAATAATTCTTAAAACTAAATTACATTGTAAAATATAAATTTTATTAAACTTATTTTAATTCTCTGTTTCAAATTTTAATATAAACTCATTATAAACTAACTAGTTTAGTACATATGTAAAACTCTTTATGTGACTAGTGCTATAACATATAAGTAACTCTACTTGTTGCGCTAGGAAATAATTAACAATAAATAAATTAATAAAAAATAATTCTAGATAACTCTCTGGAAATAACCAGAGACACACAATAGGGGGGCTTAGCTCTAAACACCAAGGAAATGAGCATTTTGAGACCAAGTTGAATCATTTATGGCCCGATTTTAAAAACTTATTAATATTTGTTAGAGTCAGGATTTTGATAGCATTAAGTAAACGAGAGCTTTGAGACCAAGGAGGGTCAACAACTGTTTGTCATTTATGCCATCCACGAGATCGCACTTGCCAAAACGAATGCAGGTTTCGAGCAAGAGTTTAAGCTTGTCTCAAAAGAGGAAGGAGCATAGAGACTATAAAAAGCTTCTCACAATTTTTCCGGAAAGTTGGTACAATTAAAACAAATTGGATAGGAAGATTTCAGCACTACAAGTATAACTACTCGTGAGGTCCCTTTCATAAATTGAATATACCAACATACTTAGAAAGAAAATGTGTGTTTAACATTATTTCCAAAGCACACAGATATACTTACTTTGCCTCTAGAGCCAGAGCAAAGACGCCCGCAGCTTCGGGCGCTGCTGCACTGGTTCCCGAATGTGTTGTGGTGCATTTGCCGTACAAGTCCGTGGTAGCTACGCCTGTGTTTGGATCCTTGGCACCATTGCTGAATGTCGACGCCAGCGTCGAGCTGCAGCTCTCGTCGTAGTGCGCGTTCTGGCCATCATTAATGGCACTATTGATGGAAATTGTCCACATCGAGGCGGCATAGCCATCGCAGTTGCAGTCATCCTCCTCCCCGCCATCACCCGATGCCCAAACGTAGATGTTGCCCAGACCATTGCGACCCTGCGGGTGGTGTCGACCAAAGAGTGATTTTAGCCAACTAATATTTTAATAGTAAAGGCATGATACCGTACCTCATTGACGCCCTGCACAATAGCGCGCATGGTGGCATTTCTCGGCCCATCCACTGTCTTGCCATCATCTGTAGGCCCCCAGGAAGCACTATATATGTGGATTTTATGCGGTTCATGGCCCATTGAGTTGGCCTCGATTAGGTCCGTCATATAGGGCTGATCTAGCATGCGTATGCCTGTGGAGCAAAAGCAAGGCGATAAGTACACATTAATCTTAATGGCGGAAATTATAAATCAATTTTTATATGACCACTCACTCACGCGGAAATAGCAACACGAAGAGACGCACATTTACTTTCACTTGACGCTTTATAGCAATCATAAAACGTTGCACTGTGAGCTGAAACCAGTACTCAAAGAACCCGCACCCTTGTGATTTGTCAGCGTTTCGACTGTGTGTGCAATTTATCGAATATTTTCCGATTTCTCCCACACGCCTCATAAAAAGAAAAAACAGATAACATGCTCAGATTTATGCTCGCACTTGTTGCCGCCCCAGCAACTGCTCAGACAATGATGACGAAGCAACACGTTTCACATTTTATGTGCACCATTTTGAAACGGAATTGATAATGAGATAGAGAGTGTCCGTGAAATGACGTCCTCAAAATTGTGGCTACGAGTATAAAGGCCAAAATTGAAAAAATAATGCGCAGTATACTATGTGTCGTATACGTAATAAGACTCTTGAGATCTGCACAGCCCTTCGCAGAAAATATTGACGTAATTCTAATAAACTAACCAACTAGCTCGTGACATAGCAGACGCTTTATTAATCCTTTCCTCCACTGTTGTTGCTTTTGGCTTTATTATTGCTGTGGTCTAGGAATTCCAAGGGTGAAGCCACTTACCTGCGATTTTGCTGTCATAGGCAACGCCAACGCCACAAATTCCATTATCTCTGGCAGCAGCCACTTCTCCAGCACATCGTGTGCCATGGCTGTAAAAAAAAGATACGTTGGGAATGGAAGCAACCCATAAATACTTATATTAGTCAACGTCGCGGCATTTGTACGAGTATAAGGATCACTGTTCCTAATGCAGTGGAAGCACAAGTTATAAGCCTTAAAGGGACTTAAAGCTTTCCCTACAGCTTAGTCGCTAACTTTTCGCTGCCTTTACCTGTTAAACCAATCATCGGTATAGCGCGGATAAGGAAAGGGATCATTGCTGCTAAAGTCATAGCTCGCTTCGGCATTCTGAAAAGTAGAGGTAGAGATAGAGACACACATTGTTAGCTTAAGCATATTTATTTAATAATTTCCTGCTTTAACAACATTCTGCCAATCTGCATAATAATAAGTAATGCGACTTTAAGCTCGAAGTGCAATTTTGTGTAAGCTCAGCCATTAAACGACAATGAAACAGAAGTTGCCGCGCCCATTCGAGTGCTGTATGTGGGATGATTTAATTTAATTTGCCACATGAATACGAATACAGAGATACAATACCGTCGGGAGTTTTACAATTAAAAGAGTAAAAGGGTAAAAAGGAATTTTATTCAGAATATATATAGCAGTCAGAAGGAGAAACAGCATACCTTGCGTAGGACATAAATTCTTCATTAGCATGAAGCATAAAGGAATATACATATGTACTTAGTTACGTGGCAAAACTCAGTAGGCATGTAATTTTGTGTTCTCTTTTATAAATACTTAGATGCCTCTATATATTCTCATTAAAAAGTTTGCACTATTTTTATTTTCTTTTGAGCTGCCTTTGTAGCTTAATTAGCCTTATAGCCAATGAGTACCAGAAGCAGAAGTATTTTATTTTAAATTTTCATTTCAAGCTTGAGCTTGAGCTTGAGATATGAATCTGTTCTATCAGCTTAATAGTATTCAATTATGTAAAAACAACTCCCAATTGACTGCTACACCGAACATTAGCTCTTTAACTTGCCACGCAGTTGCCTTCTTCTAAATATAAACGTTCTCATATACGTCTACACGTGTGTATGTGAAAGTACATTCAATTGTCAGCCTCTTTTCGTGTTGGCCCATTTCGGAAGAGTTTAGTCTCACATAATTCTCACACTGTTCCATAAAATTAAATAACACTTCGAAAACACTTCACACCCGCATCTAGTTAGATAAACTTTTTCCGCTTTCTACTATTAAAAACGCATTAGTGCTTTGTATTCATACGCCCCCTTGCCACGCACAATAAATGATGCGAAAGTTTCATCAAAAAGTTTAAATTGCCTAAGATAAATTACATAAATTCTATTCATGGGCTAACCAACGGAAAAGGTTGTCTGTGCTCTTCTTCCTCCTGTTATGCCACGCTACATCCAGTCCCAGCCCAAGGCAATATACATAACGCGAAAATTCTGTTGCATACCTTGTTGGTTACGTCAATTCGTTGACAGCAATGAAATAACTTTCAATCATGCCAGAGCAAACCTCAACCATCCAGCAAGGCAATGAGTGTATCAATATCATAACATTATTGGATTTACTATTGATTTTACGGCTCTCTGACCAACGTACATGGCAGAAGAGTAAATTGTGCACTTCGAAACTGAATTACAAAATGAAATTTAATTAAAAAGCTAAATGCAATGGGTTACTCAAACAAATAGCGGGATTTTTATGGGAAGGGCAGGTCGCGCATCAACAGAAGAAAATTAAAAACAAATACAATTTCAAAAGGCAGCCATTGCTCATTTGTGTGCGTGTATGTTTCGCATTCTTTATTTACGTTTACTTACATAATTAAATTTTAAATCCGGATGCATGTAGTCAACTCCTATAATGAAACAAGATAGAACGCTACAGTCGAGCAAGCCCGACAGTAAAATAGCCTGTACTCTCCACAAAAAAAGAAAAATTAAAAAAAAAAAATTTAAAAAAAAAATTAAATTATTAAAAAAAATTAATGAATTAATTAATTAAATTAAATTAGAATATATGTTTATGTTTAGTTTTAACAGCATACATTTACATCACGTACCTATGCGTGTTTATATGCGTGTATGTATGCAGCACAAAGTTGAACCAAAGCAGCAACAACAACAACAGCTGCGGGCAGCGCTGCCGACAGAGGCAGCGCATGAGCAGCGATTTTACTTATGGCTATAACTTTCTTCAGAATTGACCTATCATGATGAAATTTGGCACACGGACACATTAGTACTAACTGGATGTACCTACCAAAATTGATTTCAAAATTCCGAGAATTACGGAAGTTATAAGAAAAAACACGAATTGCGGGGGAGTGGGGGGGTGCATCGAAAAAAAACTCAAACTCGTACTTTCTCGGTCTTAGGAGAATATGGAAACCAAGTTTGGTTATTCTAGCTCTTATACTTTCTGAGATCCTTGCGTTCATACGGACAGACGGACAGACGGACAGACGGACAGACGGACAGACAGACGGACAGACGGACGGACGGACGGACAAGGCTATATCGACTCGGCTTCTCATCCTGATCAAGAATATATATACTTTGTGGGGTCTGCCACGCCTCCTTCTGTGTGTTACATACATGCGCACAAAACTAGTATAGCCTTTCACCCTTTGGGTACAGGCTATAAAAACAGTGAAAAAAGGCGAGGCATGAATTAACTCTCATTATCATTTTAATTGAATTTTTGTTGCGTTTTCATTTGGAAAACAACTTTGCTGCCCTTACACGCACCATCATCCATTATAGCTGTTGTCACGTTCTTCCCTGTAATTCCCTGATCCCAGGCGGCCTGCACATTTAAATCCAGTCGTACCTTTCCGCCATTTTGTCCAGTGTTTTTCAGATACCATTGCAAGGGAAAGTATGGATCTGTGGGCTCAGCACCCACGCTGTTTGACTCGCCCAGAGTCGCATCATATTGCAGGCCATGGATGGCGGGCACAGCTGGGCGCAGACCACGTTTGACACGTTTGAAGCCCGGCTGCTGGACGGCCGTGTGCACCTGTAAATGAAAGAGAAGTAGTTCAGCATTACAAAACTAATTGAGCATTACAGTAAGACGACTGTCAACCTAATATTTCAACTTGTCAGTGTCTGCCACTTAGCACGTTTTACTTGTCAACTGCCGCCCTAGTGTTCGTTGTTTATATTGTTTATTGTTATGCGTACGTGTCAGTCTGAATTTTGAATTTTGTGTGTAACTGTGCACTGCTGTCAACCACAGCCCATCAAATAGAAATCAATGTCAAACTGTTTGTTTGCCACTGCACTGGTTGAAGTAGTAATTATTGAGAACATTTTAATAGCACGTTTCAAGAGCAACCACACTGACAACGAAACCAACCATTTCATATTCAAATGCAAACATTCCTGATTCTGCAATTACGTATGTGCTTTAAAGTAAACCAAACACGGGCCAAAGATAAATAGCAGCTTAATTGCATTTGCTGGCCACGTGCTTCATTTTATATAAGCATCAAATTACTTTGTCAACGCACTATGGGATACCCTCACTCGAATCTCCTGTTTGAAAAATCGTTACGACAAATGTGCCTATTCAGCATTCGGAAATCAAAATTTAAGAAAAATTAGTACATTTTCTGATTTTAATAGAAATTTCCACTTCTTGAATTGAAATTTTTCTGGCATTTCTGGGCTTGCCCGACTGTAACGTTATTTCTTGTTTCATTTGTGTAGCATTTATTCTCAATAGACAATCAAAAGTTAGAAATTATGTTGAACAAATGAAACCTTTCAACAAGTGACGAAATCAGGCTAAAATAAAACTTTGTTTTTATTTTATTTTTTTTTTTTCAATTTACAAATAACAAACTATACCAAACAATTATTTTTATTATAAAAAAAAGAGAAAAAAGCTTTTGCACATGTCTTTCGTTAACATTGTCAGATGAACAGATAACTAATCAGAATGAAAAGCCTTCAAAATGAAAAGAGATTGTTGATAATAAAACCAAACTCTGCTGCTTCATTTTTCTCCTCCAACAGAGCTCTTGTGAAAAAAAATCTAGTACGAAATCAATATCATCAGAGCTATGTTTAAGATATTCAACATACAACTATAAACAACTGCAACATATTCCAATATTTTGGAAACTAAACATTTTCAATCAAAACATTGTCTAGTATATATTATTTCCTGTCCCAATAGCACACGGACATTGACAGGCGGGTGTGCGGTGTGTGTGAGATCAAACGGTCGTGTACTCCACCTGCGAATTGCAATTGGTGATGCAAACGGAAACAATTTGGGAAGTTGCTTGCTCACTTGTCTGAACTCTGACATTTAACGCACATTCTTGGCGTTCATGAGCACGAGTGTGTGTGTGTGTGTGTGTCATGTGGGTGTGTGCGTTGATACCTGGCTACTTGCAAATGGTACCAGTCTAAAATTTCAAACACGCAACGCAATTTGCACCGCCACCTGGCAATGGGAATGGCATTGGGAATGGAGTGAAAATGAAAAAATGGATGTGGAAGGTAGTACTATTTGCCAATACTTACCCAGGGATGACTCTTCAGTGCACGCGTGTGTGAGAGGCTGCGACGGGAGCGTGCGTGTGGCAACGTTCTGTGCTTGAAGTGGTACTCATGTCCATGTGCGCCCACGAGCTGCAAATGGAATATGAAGAAGCAAAACAAATTTCATTAGCCATTCATACAAGTACAATATACCTCCACATACATATTTCTACTATACGAGTATATACACAAATTCTAATTGAGCATAACATTAAGGCGTCTCTTGTTTTTCAGCAGAGGCGCTCAACTTCTGGTTTATTAGCCTGGCCTATAATTGCCCTATAATTGAGTTTATATTTCCATCGTCATTCGTGTATATGTTCATGCGTGTGTGTGTGTGTGTGTGTGTGAGGGCAATAAATTGCCTTTTAAATTGCCAGTCATGATCAGCGGTCGTGGCCTGGCATCATCGTCATCAACATCATTAGTGGCCGTTCAGCTCCGCACGCTGAGCTCTTCGTAAATTGAGCAGCGTCCACAAAGTTGGGCTTGCATCAGTGCTGGCCCCTTAATTCTCTGTTCTGGTCCAATGTAATTCGAGCGAAAAGCATATCAGCTTACAAGGCAATACGTGCCACATGGCAGCGCCCTCTGTGGGGGCCGCATGCTCACACTGTAACCCCAGATTTGAACCTCAACGACCAAACACTATGTTGGCTTGTTTATAAGTTCAACGTTTGCAGGCGATTACTATAAAGAAGCCGCAGCACAAAAAAAAAATAGGGTAGAATATAGTAAAAGTAAGGCAACACCCCCGAGCGTAAGTTCTTGTGCACCCCACACTTCCCTGAAAGGAAGCTATCCTTTTACTCAATCGACAGCAGCATTCCTGCCAAGATTCTGCGCGACTTTAGAGATGAGCGGTCAAGCCCATAATCAGGCGATTTAAAGAGCCGTTCAAACACTAACCGACAATATACATGTTTGTGAAAACATTTTAATTTTTACTTTCTTTCTTATTGATAAACTATGAATGCTACATTTTCGTTGCAGTTTTGCAGTTTCATTTTGACGATTATTTAATTGATTGTACTAATGAAAATACTACGGCTCTCTCTCTCATAAAAAGCTCTTTTGTTGAAATAGTCATATTTCCCGCTTTTATTTATAGAGGACCGCTTTTTTCATGCCTTTGAACTTTAATTTTTCCATGAGCCATGCTTACTAGTATCTCTACTTCAATTATTCTGTTGCCTGGTTCCTTTTTACTTGATATGCTTCAATGGGCTACTGTTCATTGCTCATGCAAGTTGCGCCCTACTTTTGCGCTGACTGCTTCAACAAAGTTTTAATATGAGTACACCCCGTACGAATTGTGAACTATTTACCACGAAGTTTATGGCAGCAGCTGCTGAGTTTCGCGACGTGTATCTATGCCTTTTGCCCTTTTCAACAGCCTCATCTCAAACCACTGACTTCATGTCTAATTCATGATTACAATATGATTAATTAACATGTGATTTGAGCCTGACGTGATTATAACATAGTAAGGAATGTTGGGTCAAGAGGACAGGACAAAGGTGGGCATTCAAGGGGCCTATCTACCCATTAATTTGCCAGCTGCCCACACAAAAATGCCGCTAAACCGCACTCATTATGGCATGAACGCAGTTCGCATGCCAGGAAAATCATCAAAGGAATGCAAAGTATGTAATGGTTATTTAAGTCGAAAGGCTTCTTCATTGTAGCCATCGGGCACATGCCGGTTTAAAAAGGCAGCGCGCTTTGCACAACCCGTGCAACATTCATCTTAGCCTTTCATCCACGTGAGTTTATGCAAAAAGCCGCCGACGGCACAAAAGCATTGGCATTGGCAACACAAACGCAACAACGTTTAAGTACAGTGACGACCCACGCTACGTGCGGTTTTGGGTTTTCCTCGACGGGCCTATAAAGTACGTACATACTTGTATAATAAAATGTTCTCGAATGAATTCAACAGCTGTAGTTAAGTCAAAAGGTAAGTCATAAACATTTTCTCCAATTCACGAGGCCGAAGCATTGAATGAGATGAAATGCGGCAACTCAATCAAAAACTCAATTTGTGTATTTATTCATTTTAATTTTATTTCGACTTCCACAATTTCAATTTCAATATTTGAGTGTTAAGCCTGTGGCAAGCTGTGCAGCAGTTTTATGGCTCCAACAGCCTTGGTCATCACCGAAAGGAAATGAAAAATACCTTAAAACACTGGGAAGTACAAATATTTGAACAAATCTGCTTAATATAATTGCTCTTCATATTGCCAGCAAGTGGAAGGATTTTGAGTAAAATATGTACCTATTAGCTTTTTCAGAAATTTACAAATACAGATGAATTCAGCACCGATATCTGAGAAGTCAAGCTTATATAGGTAGTGTGGAGTCAAACGAAATGGGCGTGAAGGACGGACGATTAATACAACCATTTCACTAATGTTTCTTTTAGTCAAACTTGTATGTGTACGTGTATACAAAATATGGATTATAAAGAATGGATTATATAAAAAAGAAAAGTCTGTCTTTTTTTCAAAATTCAAAAATATTTTGTTATTTATTAGGGAAAGAGTTTCACGTTATTTCACTTTTATATAAGAACCTTCTATAACAATTGTCGGGACTATCACATTCTCTATTGTTTTGAATATTAATTGTAAGGTTTAAATAAATGTTTTAATGTTTGAACGGGGTTTAAAGCTGAAATTTGGACACAGGTTTCCATTTATGCTGTAAATAAGAGCTAAGACTGGACTTTGGTAAACTCGATAAGTAAGTGGAAATAAGTGCTGGTAAAAGGTCATTTGCTCTTATCAGATTGACACATGCAAAGAAAAACGTGGAGGTGCAACCTTACTTCACGGTCTCAGCTAAGTCGGTCCACTTGCAGTTAAAGAACCCTTTAATTAATGACATTATGCGTAACATATTTGGAGAGCATTCGGTAGAGCTGTTGTGATTCATATGATTTCATTTTATATCACACATTTGCTTAGTTGATCATATTGATTTATTTGTGGTTTCTTGAAAACCAGCACAGCCTTGTTCTTATTATTTAATGTCTATTATGAATTATTTTGATTCCTTTTCGTGACAAAACCAGCTAAATATGCAAATCATTGTTAATATGTACATTTTAAATTACATACAAATGTTCACTTCCTACTTTAAATTTGATGAAATGTTCACAAATTCTTCACATAATTTGTTGGTGCTGGCTTGGGTCACATTAAATTTAACTAAACCGGAAGGCCGAACCCAAATGCCTCCTGCCAAATATTCGAATACTTAATAATAGACTAATAATTTCAGACACAAAAGCCACTGTCAACAATGAATCGCCCCCAAAATTGATTAATTTTAAAACAAAGCGCGTTCCTTGCTAGGGGCAGGGGGAAGAATGTTGGAATGGCCCAAATATCTGTTGGTTTATTTAGGCAAAGAGCTGCGCATATTTAAGCAGCTGCGACAACAATTAACAATAGGCCATAAAGGGCCATCAAGCCGTTAACTACTGTCAATCACAAGCGTTTTGACAGCTTGACAATTTGAGTAACTGGACGCAATTCATTCCTTAACAAAAGAGGACAGTTATTTTCATTCGCTGTTTATTTATGCGCCATTTACATATCTTTTAATGTTCTTAGTATACTTGTACATCTGTTTGGCGGTTCTCTCTCGGAGAACTTTGACAGCAGAAACAGCTGCTGTTCATCATTTTGCAGTATTATTGAATTTGATAAGTACTGGCGTTCGAGTTGATAGCAAATATTAAGCATACGCACTGTGGGCGCAATGAATATTTATTAAATACGCCATGCACTATGGCCAAATGAACTAATCCAAGTCAGCATATGCAGCTAAATTGCGGGCATTTATTTTATTATTTTTAGATCCGACGTACACACATACACATACACACACACACATTTTAGTATAATTTTTGCATTACTCTTTATAAATAAAACATATGGAACGCAAGGAGCACAAAAAATGAGAAAACTTGATACCAAACAACTAAGTAAGGGCTTAGGGAAAAAGATTGCGCGTATATGTATGTATATGTGCGTGTATAGAAATGTGGCTGAAAGGGAAAGGAAGCGCATGCCAAAATAAAAATAACCACAGCAGCAACAACCCAGCGCCACTTAATGTAGCAATAATGCTGCTATTGTTTTCGCTATATATGTGTGTGTGTGCGTGTGTGTGAGAGAGAGAGAGAGAGATGTTGTGTGAGTATAGTAGACCATTATAAATATTATGTGTCACAACGGGTGATAGCATCGCCGTCGACGTTTGCAAAGTCAAGCACGGCCAGCAGACACTTCATAGCATGTGGCGGCGTCAACTAAAAGCCTCACAACAAACCGCCCACGTAGTGCTGCGTACAGCACCGCCCCTCCGCTTCAGTTATTTAAGCATCGGCGGAAGCCCACGTGCTTTATAAAGTTTCTTAAGTTAGTGTGCGTGCGCAATTTGTATGAGTGTATGCGTATTAGAGTTGGACATTTTAGTTCATTCTAATCAATAGGTTCCAGTCAATTGTCCCCTCTTATTAAACATTTTTCGTTCCAATCCCCTTTCAAAATTTTGTGACAGCGTTTGTCATTTTGTGTGAAATTAAAATCGAATATCTCAATCAGGAGCCAATTGCGATATCAAATAGTTCGATTGAAACAGGTATGTTTATTAAGTAATTCCTTTAATTCATGCGCTTATTTTAATAAATAAATATTAAGATTTTCAATCATTATACAATTGTTATACAATCATTATCTCAATTACGCATCATTAAAGAATTAAAAGTATTATTTAATATTAAACATTTATTAGTTCATTTGAATCAATCTATACAGTGAACCTATTTTGAACAAAACCTCCCATCTCTAGTATACTTACATGTGTGTCTGCTTGTTTGTATGTGTCTGGGTGTGTTTGAAAAATCCGCAATAATCACAGACGCCTTAATTACTTACACATATAAAACACGCGCTCATCTCCAAGCTCACACTTCCCCCAAGCTCATTTACAGTGCACGTTTGTGCCCTTAGTGGCTCATTGACCACCATACATACACAAATACATACACAGATAATTAATTTCTATGCTTATTTCTTTTATTCAAATGGCAAGCTTTTAATAATGTATGTACGTCAGAATCCGAATAGACCAAAAATTCTTGAACAACTTGTTGCTTCCTTTCACACTAATGGATTTTGAAGTAACAGCTGTACGCATACTATACTTAGTTACAACACATAGTTACATTACTGTCTGGTACGATTACGAGCATGCACAAATATATGTATGTATATCCGTGCGGATGGGATATCACTGCTTGGGTGTGCGTACGTGGATGTGACACGTCATCTTTCAACGGCAGAAATTTATGGATTTTTACTCATGCCCAACGAACTAACTCATAACACTTTATTTACATGGCGAGTGAATATAAAAAGAAAAGCAAAAAGAAAGGATTACAAGGAATACCCTGTTGTGTACATGACAACGTTTGTCGCTGACTGCACAAAGCATGCAAGAGCAACATATAGTATATTACTTGTAGAATATAGAAACGCCTCTTTCCGACCCATCAATCAAAATATCTTATCGTTTTGCAGTTATTTCATTAAATTTAATCTCAATATAAAAATGGGTTTTGAAATTTCAAATTCTGACGATGAGAATATGTCAGATTCACCATAACTTTTACGGAATCGACAGAAGATTCTACCGCCTTTAAAATATGCGACCTAAAGCATTTATTTACGCAATATATATCCGACTTGATCAAGTTGTGTATTTGTTTTTTGTAAGTGGCAACACCCTGACTTGTTGTTTTAGAAATATTCTTTGACAAAAATATCTATCGTGAAAATGAAAACTAACAAATGCAGTAGTGCATGAGATTAGTTTTTCTCGAGAGTGGGCATGATTGATGTATAATTCAAATACAATCTTAGCTAATATTCCTGCAGTCCCTCTCATCTCTGCTTAAATTCTTAGCTTAAGCATACCTTAAAGCAAAGAGCATTGCCTTATATTAAAGGATATATTGGTAGCTTACATTTAACGCTTTTAGTAGGCATGTTTAAAAATAACAAAATTTATCATTTTATGCTTACAAGCTTTCTGACATATTTTATGAATTTATTTTAGATTTAGATACTATACTTTAGATTCGGCATGGCTCTTCAACGACTTTGCGGTATGGACAAATTGCCCTTCATGATGAAGAACGACGCATTCGTTTTAGAATCTGAGAAAAACGAACTAAGACTAGGGACACACAATTTAGGTAATCATTACGCCTTATTAGCGCCACCGTTTGAAAAGGTAGAGAATAAATAAAACAAAAATGTATCCGATTCGCTTATATTTTATTTTCGTTTCTGCTTACCCTCAGCCAGCTGAGACTCTACCCAAAATATTGGCTAGAAGCCCTGGTGTATGCATGGAGTTCAAACATGGAACCACAACACTGGGCTTCATATACCAGGGCGGGATCATCCTCTGCGTCGACTCACGCTCTACCAGCGGGGACTTTATTGGCTCGCAGCACATGAAGAAAATAATTGAGCTCAATGATTATATGCTGATCACAATGGCTGGCGGGGCTGCCGATTGCACCTACTGGGATCGAGTGTTGGCTAAAGAGTGTCGTATGTACGAGCTGCGTTATGGAAAGCGCATAACAGTGATCTCGGCCGCAAACATGTTGGCCAATACGATCCATCAATATAGGGACATGGGTCTCTCTATGGGCATGATGCTAGCTGGCTTCGATGGCGATATTCCCAAGCTAATCTACTTGGACTCAGAAGGCTATCTTGTAGATCACACGGAGTTTGCGGTGGGAAGTGGCTCCACCCTTGCCCTTGGATTGTTAGACACTTTCTTCAAGTGGGACATGACTGATAGAGAGGCCTATGATCTGGCATGTCGCTCCATTTGTAACGCAGCGCATAGGGATGCCTACTCAGGCGGCATTGTTCGCCTCTATCATGTTACGGCTGATGGTTGGAAGAACATAAATAATACAGATTGCTGTGACCTCTTTGAACACTTTGAGAAGAGAAAAGCTGAAAGTAGGGCCAGCATTGCTGCGGCATCAGAGTCTCAGTCTGAAACTGGCAGTGAATTGCCCATATCCATAATATCATAAGACGTCCGCGACTGTTGATCAAATATGCTGTGAAACAGCCATATCTATGATTAAATAAAATTTAAAGTTAAAGTTAATGATTTTTTTCAAATAAAACCATAAATACTTCGTCGAATTGAAACAGGGAACAGATAAGATATAAGATATTGAATACATCGATTTTCACCAAGAACACTATACCCTGCATGCAAAAGTATATATAAAGGGCAAACTAGAAAGCCAAATAATTTACATATAAACGAGTACAAGTATAAAGCGTATCAGACCAATGGAAAAGTTAGTCTTACTCCTAATTCTGTCTATAAAGATCTCGTAATCATAGTCATCTATTTGCTTTCACATTGTATCTTTTTCAGTTCAATGTCTATGGTGAAATGGTATTCAAGAGTGGAGCTGCCACAACTTAAACATACTACTACCGACATTGTAAACTGTATTAATTTATTGCAAATTTAATAAAACTCATTTGAGCTACACACAACACAAACAAAAGTGGCTTATGTTGGATTGCTGAACCACTTATACAAGTAGTATTATTTGCATTATCAAATATTTTCTGTGCTTCTCTAACCTCCAGCACTTGTGCCAATTCGCAAACTAACCGAAAAGCCTCGTATATCAAACGATTGTCCTAATGACGTCAGTAAATGACAGAAAGCTTTTTATCAACAAGCAGTTTATCAGCGGCAAACAACAAGACTGGTATTAGACCGCACTACTGTGCTGTGTTTTCCCATACGTATATTTTAGATAGAGTGATAAGCTCTGTGTGGGTGCATACTGGGTACGAAATGTTCTTTACTTTTGCAATTGCTCTAATTAGCCAAACAACAATAGCACCAACAACAACGTGCGCGTGTGCCCACTTCAACAATCAAGGCTCCCCTCCAGGGGCCACAAATCAATCAATCAAAATTCACGCTGCACACTCGATAGTCTTTAAAGTATTTGTAGGCATTACCTTACAGCAGTGGCTCTCAAAAGTAGGCTTTAAAAGTCTGATATATAGTATATCCGCTATATGCGACTCTTACCAGACGCGTTTACTTCTCTCTCCAACTCCCTTAAGAAGAATGTAAACAAAATGGAATTGCCAGCCCGCAAAGATTTGCCAAAATAAGCTCAGTATGTAAATCCAAGCGAGGCATATTAAAAAGCGTCAATAAATGATGTAAATTTTTCAGCGCAAAATGATAAAGACAAACTACAGTATTAGTATGTGTGTGTGTATGTGTATTGGATTGCGCGTGTCTCTCAGGCTGTCAAACGCCAAATAATGAGGAACTCAACGCAAAGACGACTTCGAAGTGCCAACGTAGCAGCTGCTGAATAATTCAACAGGATGTGCCGCGAAGTAAAGACAAACAACAGATCTGCGCCCACCGCCCTTCGCCTAATAAGCATTGATGAAGCTGCAGATTGAGGCATGCAAGTCGTTGGCTCGACTTTGATTTGTTGCCTAAGATTTAGCTAAAATGCGTCATGCCCAGCCAATTGTTATGGTAACTTATTACAAAGTCGCGCCAAGTTGCGTGCAAACAAAGACAAGACATTTGAAACTGAAGTCAATGCACAAGCCTAAGAAAAGAAATGTTGAGCACACGAACCTCATACCGTAGCTTGCAATGCATTACGAACAAGTTTTAATGAGAACGACTGTAATTCCAAAAAAAAATTAGAATGGTATGTCAAGTATTGTAAGTTGATTAATTTTTGGTCTCAAAGCAGGGAAGGAAAGTAAGGCCAAAAGAAATCCCAGAGACACACAAAAATAATCTTGAATTTAAATTATAGAAAAGAGGGGCTTCACTAAGTATATATTGAGCTATGTTTTGATACTAATGAAAATTTAACTGAATAATTATTGAAAGTAAAAGCAAATTGAGATTCTTCTCGGACAGAAATACTCCTGTTTCATAAACTAAACTTTTTTTAATGCATTTCCTACCCCGCTTGTACGAAATTGAAACTGTTCGACTTTATAGAAGGAAACTATGGTAAGAAACTTGCCTACATACGAAGTTTATTGTTCCTAGTTATGGTTCCAAAAGTCATGCCTATATCGATGAAAAGTTACAAAGAAATTTTTGTTGTGGACACAGAAATATCTGCGGAAGTTGGTTAAGGTAAAAGCGGAAAACGAAAGGCTCTTAATAAACATATGTACAAGTATATAGTGTCTTTGTCCCAAAATATTAGTGTTAAAAGCAATTAAAACAGTGTTGGCTTGCGCAAAACTTATTCATCACACATTACAAGCATTACAAAAAATGTTTAAGTTTTTATTGTTTTTCAAACTTCAATATTCAGAAGTGGAGTTGTTTTTCGGCTAAATATTATCATCCCTTGCCTGAGTGCCCGTGTGCACAGTGGTGCACCACTGTGCGTATTCTTTATATACTCTTACGAATTATATGGAACAGTACATTATGTTGACATCAAATTCAATTTGTGGTAAGTAGGGCAGCTTGAACAACAGGTGGCGCTGCTGACACCCCACTGAAAACTAATTAAGTGCAATGTTTGAACTAAACGAGCTGCATTTAAGCAAATGTCGCACGAATGTAGGTCAAATGCAATGTGGCAGCTGGCAAGATAAAGGCCAACATGCAACGCCCTTTCCTTCCACTTTTTTCCTTCGCCCTGCCTGTCTTTCTTCGTTTTATAATCACTTAAGACGCTTTGCTATTTGGAGCAAAAACGACTTTGCCCGATGGCAACAAAATTATGTAGCCTACTGTTGACATTGACATGCTGCCGCTGGCCACATTGCGTATGCGTGATTTCACAAAGCCAGCAAATGAGCGTGCGTGTGTCTACTTGGGTACCGCTCTTTGTGTGTGAGTGGCGAAATTAAATAAAAATCTCATGCAGCTATGTACGTATATATGGATAATTAAATTTATGATTCTTATCTAATTTTGGTTGTCTGCCTTTTGTCAGCAGAACGCGTAGGCGCCATGCCGTGCAGCACAGACATTTTTTAAAAATTCAATTTATCGGCTTCGTCAACAAAAAATAAAAGTATGAAAAATAGAAGCTCACCAAGCCGCTTTGACATTCCCGCAATTGCAAGAAAATGAAATCTACTTATATAAAATAATGTTGCCAGCTTAAGAACTTCTCTATTCATTGTGTATTGATAAATACTTTCTTACTTACGACTGATTCTACTCAGTATGCGCAACATAAATGAACTGCAGACTGAGTTTAACTTGAAACTTTTTTAATTATTTAGCCAACAGATGGTTGCTGCCTTCGACTTTCTGTCTCTAGTTGTCGACGCATTTCAAAAATTTCATTCATTTCATTCTTTCTGTTTTCATCAATTTGATTAACTTTTACCCCAGCTCTTCGTCTATGGCACTCAAGTGCTGACAGAACAAATTGAGTTTATATTTGTATGTTTTCCACAAACAGACGCACGGAGAAATACTTTTCTATTCTATACGTTAAGCTCGCCATATGTGCCGAGGTCGCCAACCCCACCTACACATCCATCTCTTACAACTTTTTTTCCGAAGCTACTTGCTTACGTACTGTCTATTTTTAAGGTCTCTTTTCACACATTAATTGGAATAGGTATGTATACATTTGCACGCTTCTCTCGGCCTAATAAAACAAGAAACACTCAAAAACAAAAGCATGAAGGCCTTGTTGTGACAGAATTTAATGCAAATTAGGAAAAAAAATGTGGGGGCCTGCCAGCGCCATGGCCGCAATTAATTGGCAGCCTGAAAACTTTTTAATTAGCATTAGGGAGCATTATCGTATCTACCCTAAATGGACACAACTCCTGTGTGTGCAAATTAAATGAAAAGCCATATCATATCCATATCGTTAAATATGTATAAAATGTATAATACATTTACTGAGGGGCTACAAGCGTTTTTTTATTACAAATCTAACAAATATTTGCAACAAGTTTTGTGTCAGGCATGTCAGAGTTAAGTGATTAATGCTTATACAAAATAAAAAAAATAAATGAAATTTATCCTACATTAAAAAATGTATATAATAATATCTATATATATATATTAAATATACAGGGTGTGCCATCTTTTATGTCGGTATGTAAACATTGAATATCTTTGAAAATAAACAACCGATTTTCAAGTATGAGATATTATTATTTAATTTGGGTCTGTAAAATTTCCCCACAAAAAGAAGTCCGGAGGCGTCTAATCTGGAGATCTGGGTGGCCAATCAATATCGCCTTTTTTGATACCAGACGTCCAGGAATTTTTGTTGTAAAAACTGAATTGTTTTATTTGCAGTATGGCATGGCGCACCGTCTTGTTGAAACCAGTAACCGTTCAGACCTTTTTCACGCATCTGCGGGCAGACATAATGAGCCAACATCCACCGATATCGATTCCCATCAACTGTTTCGCCTTCTTTGAAGAAAAATGGCCCAATGATGGTTTTGGCGCAGACACCGGCCCAAACAGTCACTTTTTGATCATGCAATGGTGTTTCATGAATCTCGTGTGGATTTTCCGTTCCCCAAATGCGGAAATTTTGCTTGTTAACGCCGCCTGGGCCTCGCCAGTCATCAAAATTTGCTTCCAAAAATCAGGTTCAGTGTCAACCATTCGAGCAACTGTTTGGCCGTATTCCAAGCGACGTGGACAGTCTGTTGGCAAAATTCTTTGAGTTAATTGCACTTTATACGGAAACAAATGCAAATCGTCCTTTAAAATGCGCCGCAAAGTGGTTCCACTGGCGTTAAAATGCTGAGCACGGTGGCGATACGACACATTTGGGTCCTGGGCAACACTCTACCTTACCATTTCAATCAGTTCATTGGAACGTCTTGGTCGTTGATGAAAAACATGTGGACGATCTTCCACTGTCCCGTGCTCAAAAAAATTTGAGAACAAACGACGAATAGTGTTGTCATGTTTGTTCGAACACGTAGAAGTCGAGAACGACAAGATGAATTTTCATGGGTTTTGATTTGTTGTATTTGTCTCCGTCCCGAATAACAGAATAACTATTAAAATCATTGGAATTCGAAAAAATCAAAAAAAAAATAACACAAACTCGTATATCGTACACACATAAGGCATCTTCG